TTAAATTGTTTTTTTCTTACTATTTGACAAAACAGAGATTGTTGCTATTGTTTATGTGTGTGTGATCTACGACAAAAGAGTCTACATAAAGGGAGATTTCAAAAAAATAAAAAAATAAATGCAACCAATCCCCCTCCCCACTGATTCTGGAGGGGTTGGTTAGCGTTCAAAGGGCGGTAACGCACGTGTGTAGCTAACGTGTAGCTACTTGCCATCAGGTGAACTGTCTTTGTTTGTTTACTGTACCATAAAAAATACGATATCGTCAACAGCTGATTCAGGTGAAGTGATATCGGGTCGACGCACAGTTATCAAGATAAGATGATCCACTTAGTGAGTATTAATTCTCGAGTAATGAATGCTGTTATAGCAATTAGCCTATATGTAGGAACAGCATTCCAGCACACACAGGTGGCTGTCACCGGGCATGGTAATTTAGCCAGGAGGTCAATTCCCGTCATAAAAATTCGTTCAAAATTCCGTTCCAATCTATTCTCGATCTCACAACTGTCATAAAAGGTATTCTCGTAGTAAAGTATTAAACGTCCAACTTTGACTGTAATGTGATGTGATATCGTGTTGTGACCGAAAGTAGAGAATCGGTATTCTGCTACATCTTAGTAATAATTTCTGAAGGAATTTTAATTACGAAAATTATCCTTCTGGTCCCAACTACCTTTGTGTGGACATCAGATAATAATAATAACCTCACACATCTCACACACGGCCGGCAGAGCCTGTACTATGGTAACCAAGCTGCTGATAAACATACTTATATATTTCTAAATACATACATATATATAGATAAATTACACCCAAATACAGAGCAAATGATTGTGCTCATCACATAATTATTTGTCCTGGGTGGGAATCGAACACACGACCTCTGGCTTAAAGGTTAGGGTTACTAACCACTAGACTAACAGGCCAGTCAAATAGATATAAAATAATATGTAACTTGTTAATTTATATGCGTTTTTACAAATTTTAGAGTTTGGTACCCGACTTGGTACCGTTTTAGGTTTTTCGAGATATTGGTGCTAATTCTGGTGTTCGAAAACTCTCTAAACTAAACTAAAAATCACTAAAAATTTGTTTCGTCCTGTCAAATAATGTTACCTGTTCTGAAAACGTAGAATTTGGCAGGACTAAATTTTTGTTTAGGAATTTTTAGTTTAGTTTATAGAGTTTCCGAATAACAAAATTAGCACCAATATCTGTCTAAAATTATGGCATGCTCTGTAGCCTGAACGAGTCCATGGATTTTGACTTGAGAGGTGAGATTCGATTCGTCTAAATTGATAGTGTCAGTGCTCAGTTTAGGACTAAATGGCGTTATATGATTGTGGTAGAATGTTATGTCTTCAAATATATTATTTTCTTTTCAAAGTCCTCTTTAATTACAAGCGATTTTAGCGGTTATTTGTAGAGGTAATCTTTTGAGTCAGCCGCCATATTTGCAGTTTTTATATGAATGAAATATCTAAATCTATTTTTAGTTAATAGTGGACATTTGTATGCATATAATAGAATGTTTAGTTGTTTAGTTATAAGAACATCACACCATCAGCCTTCTGCCGTCCACTGCTGAACGAAAGCCTTCCCGTAAGAAGCGCTAACCATCCCGGTCTTGGGCAATCTGCATCCATCCATCACATCACGCCATATTCTTCTATAACTGACAACGATGTTGAGCTGTTCAATAATATTTCTAAAACCCTTATTTTTGGGTGTATTTATACTCGTAGAGGCCTGTCGGTCTATTGGTTAGTTACCCTGTCAATATTCGACCACGACCTCCTTAGTAAACCCGGAGGTCGTGGATTCAATTCCCACCCAGGACAAGTACCTAGGTAATAGTGAGATGAGCAAGATCATTTGTTTTGTGTTTAAGTGTAATTTATCAAAAATACTTATGTATGTATTTAGAAATATTTAAGTGTGTTTATTAGCAGTCTGGTTACCATAGTTTTTGTCTATGTCGGGTTCAGACGCCCGTGTTGAGTTATTACGTTCTGACTATATTATTCTTGTAACTAGACGAGGATGAATTGTGGCTATAAACACTAAACTTTATATTTTATAGCAATTCGAATAAGGGTTATATTAAAATGAAACAAAACATTTTTTTTAGGTTTTAATATTTTTTACACAATTCGTAGCATTCATAATGCCGACACATTTCGTCAGATTTTCTTCATATGGCCGTCAGCGATTGATGTTACTATCGTTTATATAAACCAGTTCACTATTTAATCGTATAGTTTTATTTATAATATGTACCTCGCCGAAATAATACAATATAAATATATAATTAACCTTTTCTTTAAAATTGAAAATGTTTCCGCTGACTGACGCACGATATTCACCATTTTTAGTACCTATATTTACAGTAACTTGATGACTTTCAAATCATTATATATAATGTACATATACATATATAATAAAGAGAAAAATCAAAATAAAATTCTTCAATTAATACATTAATGCCTAACAACTACTATTTAAGATTTTTCTCTTAATAAAAATATATTACACGCAATGCAAATAACAATAATAATTGTGTACCAACAAAGTCTGGTGTTGTTAGAGAAACAAAATTCTTCCACATTATTTAATACTGAGACTTCATTGAGAAAAAAAAACTGTATTTATACAAAGTAAAAGTGACGTTTCGATGAATAATTATTTACAAAAGTTAACAAACCTTTTTTGCTAAAATGAAACCTTTAAATTACCACACGATTATTTCTTAGTTAAAAAAAAAAACTTTGATATTCCATATTTAAATCAAGTTCTCGACAATAATCAAATTTGCAATTAAAAAAATAACATCGTTTGACATTGAAATGTACGTTCAAAAACGATATCAAGAATCGTGTGGCAATTTAAAAGATAATAATGGTGGTCTTAATTAGCCTAGAATAAAGCTTGTTCTCAGAAAACTTATCTTCCGCTATCGAAGTACCGTAGCTAGGACCAATTATGACGTTTAAATCTCCCGTTCGTATACATGACATAAGGCTGTAATGCATTGCATTACTATAAAGTGGTTCACGTGATTTTTTAAGTTCAAAGTTAACTGTACCGTGAGTGTTCATATTTATCGCTTTTTCATATTCATTTATAATTGATTTTATATCTATAATAATGAAAAGTTTTTCTGTTCTCACTTATTTTTAGCTTTCAAGTTTTTTGACACTCACAGCAAAGTTATGTTCCGTGGCAATTCTAATTAGTAATTCATATTATTCGCTTTAAATTACGCAAAAAAGTTTTATATGCCCACGGAACTTTATAATCTAGGAGAAGCTCACAGATTCTCATCAGTCGTGAAAATCACACAATTATAAATATTATATGTGTGAATGGTCTACAGATTAAAAAATAAACAACACTGGCTGGTTTATTCGCGCCGAACACGGCCTACACTGTTAAAGAGGTATTTTTTAATCTGTACATCTTCTAGTTTATGGTCTCCTGGTAACATAGAAGGCAATCAATATCAGGTATCATCCACAAAGACAAAAAATAGACCTAAAAATCTCATTTTTTAACATTGTAAAATATCATTTTGTGATTCGTATACATTGGTTACAAATTGTGCTACATTATCAACACCAAGGCAAGGTGAGAAACGATATATGATATACAATATCATTACAATAAATATATAATAATTCAAAGATATGTATTCAAAATGTTTTCTGTAAATTATATGCGGACAATTAATATTCAAGAAATTGACATATGCATGTACAATTTGAGCTTGATAATTAATTACATTTAATAAATTAGTTGATAGGTAACAGACGCAGCACGTAAACGCAATTTACAGTACATACATTTGAAAATTGTTAGGAGGTGTATACACGAGGCGAGGCGTCCGAGACCGCGTCCGCGTCTCTGCCTCGTTTTCGTCCGGTGTGCCTCGCGCCCACGGCCTCGTGTAGCAAAAATAAATCGCTTCGAAATACCTATAATCTATTAATACAACTCCTTTACAAAAAATGTTCCGTATCTATTACCTTTCCGTCGACAGCGACCCAAGTATTGTAATAGTTATAACTTACACAACTATTCAATTATTTATTTATATTTACGTAATAACAATACACAATTAGCTATAAATATTTATACGATAACTATCAAACCACGTTTTATTGTTACATTCATCAACTTTGCTCATATTGTTCCGACTGTTTTAAACCATTTCGTTTATTTATAATGTGATTTTTTCGCACCAGGTAGTCAGTGTCCATGTCACTTTGTAAACATTTACATTTTTAAACATTAAAGTTGACTTCAAAACTTAATTTTAGGAGATCGTATACTGTTTCAAATATTACAAAAGTGTCGCTTTTTTTTTTATTTATTTTATGTACATGTAGCATCATTCTCCTGTTGTGTATCACGTGCCATTGTATCACATGAGGCCGGCATGGACTGCCTCGTGGTGCCTCGCGGAGCTGCCTCGTGGTGCGCCGCGCTCGCCTGAGCTCTGTCAACGTTATTCATATCTGCAAATAAAATCAACGATATATTGATGCTTCACCAACAACTGCATACTTTAAGTATTACTTATGTGTTTTATTCGTGTCTTCTTATACCGTAATTATAAGATTCTTTTGTAAAATAGGTACTTATTTTTTTAAGTAGTAAGGGCGTTAACGCACTTATTATCAGCAGTGCTATTCTCTAAGGAAACAGCCTTGAAAAATAAGGACCGAATTTCAAACTAAGTTAGATTGAAATTCGATCACCCCACCGAGGTTTGAGGGTGGTGTGTCGGAATCGGACCGACTCAAACCACACGGTGTGCCAATCTGCGTCTGTGATACGAGAGATCTGCTCGTTTGCCCCTCCTATATCCTTTATTTCAGGAACTGCTTAAATTATGCTGGTTTCTGTCGATATGAGAATGGCAGACGGGATGCATCAATTGTCATTTTCGTTACAAATAAAGGTGTATACTCACATGTACAAATGTGCAGGTTCCATTAGAGATGGTGGCCGTAGTATTCAGCCGGGTAATGCGCGTAGCCCTGGTGGAAAGCGGGGTCCGTGGGCGGCCTGTGCATCATCTGCTGGCCATCCATCATGTAGCCCATAGTCGCCTCAGGGCTGTACGCGCCGCTGGGGCCGGCATGCGGGAATACTGAGGGGTAGAAAACTGAACGGTTAATCAGGTCGGCTGGGGACACCACTTTTTGGGCTGGGTGGTCTCTGAGATGATAAAATCATAAGAACATGTATCTAATGAGGGTTTGTGAAATCTAAATATATTCTTCATTTAGATATCCTAACATATTCTGTTTTATTTTAAGTTGAGTAATAATTTTTATCATTTGACGATAATTATTTAATAAAGTCCTTTGTGTTGAGGTAAAACCGCGTTGTAAAGTTTAGCACTAAATCTAAAGAAGTTTTGAAAGTTTTCTGGGATTGTGTTTTGTTCAAATTTTCCTGATTATGAATTACTAAAGATGAAATTCGACCATTTTAAATTTCTTATTATGTTTCATCGACCAGTATTACTTGAACGACCATTATATAGCCTTTTGTAAAGTGACACGCTTTATGTAGTCATTTTTACGTAACTTTTAAGTTTTTAGCACATGTTGATACTAAAGTAGGGCTTTCCTTACTTTTTCTACATTTAAACATTAAATGTTCCCAATATGATACGGTTCCGTGCGTATATTGAATTAAAAAGCGGTACAAACAATTCCATCCGTGTGGTGACGGTTTAAGCATACAGAGTGTCACCACCCCTATTCATCCCGTGGGTGTCGTAAGAGCCGACTAAGGGAACAAACTACGCGGGATAAAAGCACTGCAAAGAGAAGGAAAACTTAAAACGAACACTATACCAACCCGTCCGGTCAGCGTAGTATAGTAGGTCAAAACTTCCTTTATAAGTAGCGGTCTTTGTGCAGCAGTGGACTATTAAAGGCTTATGCTGATGATAATGACAAAGAATTCTCTATATTTCGTATTACTATTTAAATACTGGCTTGTATTCTTAAAAAAAAACAATTTGAATTACAATTTCCCTTCTAATAGGAATCTTAATCTTACCCCTTTTCAAGAAAAACTTTTTCATAATAAATGCTTCCCCAAATAGAGTTGCTTACGTAAAAACTATAATAGTTATATACGTATTGAACATTACTTGATGGTGGTTGTGTGTGGTGCTCTCAAGGCGCAATGGTGCGTGCCCCCATAAAGACCCCACGAGATGTCGGAAATCGACGTCTATAATGGACGAACACCATTACATCACGATTGATAATCCCATGGATATATGGCTCGCGGAAGCCATAACAGTTTTGTGGGAAAATTGAACGGATTTCTTGACTTTTACAATTGCTTTTGTCGTTGATGTGAATATTTTGAATGAGACTGGAGTATTAGTGATTTTTCTTTATGGTTTTAATAATTTATATTTCGGTTTTATTAGAAAGTATTTGAATAATATATTTATGCCAATTTTTTTATCTGTACACCTATTAGCACGATTTATTTAATTAGATTTGCTTTTAAATACTCATTAGGGTTTTTCTAAATGACGGATTTTTGTACTCTTTGCCCATATTTGTATGTACTTATAGTGTAAGTGATAAGAGCATACAAATGAGCAAATTTAAAGACAAATCTTAAGTTATTTTATTAACGTCATAATTTAAATATCATTAACGTTAATAACTACTAAATATAATTATCTAATTACATATTTATATTTAGTCGTTATATCCACACTGGTACGTATACTACATTGTTGTCAATTTTTTAAATAGAGAGCGTTTTTTTTTAATTGTACGAGTACCTTAATAAATGCTCTTGACGTTCTTTCCGTATATTGGCTTAAGCACTATCTCTCTTTTTGGTAAAGATTTTTATTGCTTTTTTTGCAAACAATGCAAAAGTCACTGATTGAGTCGGTCCAGTGACGCGTGTCTCCTACCAGGGCTGCAGGAAGCAATAACGGGCCCCAGATCGAGGGTGCTGGCCTCAAACTACCAGGCAAATATGATTTAGTAGGAAGTAATCTTGACGTCACGAAAATCCGTTCCGATATTATGATATTGACATTGTAGTTACAGTTCATATGCAGTAATAAAACCTTTTTTTTTAAATAACCTTACTCCTCTAATCAGAACTTTACCATTTTAATAAAAAGCTGCAAATTTGCGAATTTGCCATTTTTATGTTGTAATTGAATATAGTATTGTTAGTGAAATAAGATACTTCGATGATTAACAATGCTTATTTTTAAATCGTCTTTTTGCCGTTATTTGCAAGACATCACTTATTAACTTATATCAACACCCTGTCTATAGATTTCAACTAAAATAAATTGCATTGTTTTTTATTTTTATTAATGAATTTAAGGATAGCAGAAACATAAATTAATAATGCTATTAGGCGAAAGGCCATGTTTATCTCCGTCCGAATGTCCCGGTGCAAGTTGACAGAAATGAAATGAAATTTCATTTTATAGCAACACTAACAGAATTTGGAAATGAATTGTCAAAAAATAAATGATGTCGTTCCGTTTATATACTATATTTCCGCAGCCTAACAAAGCCGTGTCCGGTTAGTTGCCGCGAAATATACGAATATTAATTTTGCTTTTAATAAATGCATCAGTGACGAGAACGGATTTAATCCTCGCGGAATGCCCAATAAACGATCGCTGGTGCTCGAAGCCAAACGAATTGTAATTTACAGTCTGGCTTGGTAATGGGACGCATCAGAGGGCAATTTATGCTCTTATAATAAATTCATTAGCACGACATGGCGGTGCACATCGAACTAGACAACGGTAACACATTTGTTGGGTACTAGGAACACATAATGGCTACAGTGGTATCTACTTAGCGTATCTACCTGGACAGAAATTAGCGCGTTGAATATAAAATATGAGATTGAATATAGACTTTCCCAAAAATACATATAAATCTAATTCGATCTTCGATTTGTCTAAGAAAGAAAACTCCTTTAATTTAATTAAGTACTTATGGGATGCGACTAATATAAAAAGTACATTGGAATAAAACATACCGACTTTAGTGGGCGGTTGGCAAGCGCTTCACGAAAACGCAACACGCACCAGGAATATATAAACGTATGGCACCCACGACAAATAATATAGTGATTGGAAAAGCGCCTTTTGGCTTGACCGCAGGAAATGCGGTGGCCATTTTCTTTAGTACATTGCCAAAACAATTTTCCATCTATCCTTCCACCCCTCCGGTTTTTCCATTTTCCGTCGTCGGCAAACTTGGCCGGGGCCACATCCGGACGTTTGGCTTGCGAGATTTAGAACTCTACTTGTTTTATTTGAGCCTGGTACTGTCGCGATATTTGAGTGCTGACAGTTCTAACTTTATTGCAATGAAAGTTTTGTTTATCGTATGCATCGTAAACAAAGTTGTTATTGTACGAGTACCTCTTTAAAAGTAAAACCGCCGTCCTACCTAAATCATGACAGAAAATGATTAAATACTTTTTTCCCCCATACATATCTATTGAGATTTTCTTCTACTCCGTTTATTCAAAAATTAAATCTAACTCTGACAGGTTCCTCTAATTCTACGGAAAAACTATACTATACCTAAAAAAAAATCAAACGAATCCCTTTTTTCTTTGAAGTCAATCAAAAAGTTGATTTTTAGCTTTTACTCTTCATTAATTTAATAAATTTAGCTTTAGGAGTATATCAATCACAGTGGGTACTTAATTAAATGTCAAGTTTAATCAATAAACAACCTTCGACAGTCTTTGATTAAAGCCATATAGATATTCTTTTTTTCTTATAAACGAAATTAACAAGAAATGAAGAAAATACCCGGCTCCTCTAATCTTTGGAGTAGGAAAGGGGGCAACATCCACACATCTAGATAAAGGCACCAGGGTAGCATACATCGGCGATAGTCGACGGAGGGGCGAGTGATGGATCGTTCGGGATGGGTCAACGAATTCGGACATTATTCTTTTTTACCCTTCTTGCGTTCGCAGGAGTAAGCCCTTTTTCTGCGACGTCCTTTTTTTCCCCCGGACGGAATTTTTGTTGGCGTACGTTCGTTCCCTGAACGCTTTATGGACTGTGCTACAATTACAAAGTAAAAATAGAATTGGTCGTTTGTAATTCTATTCCATATTGTCGGTGGGACGTAAAAAAAGGACGTCGGCTGATATTTTTGCTGGTTTTGTGATTCGCGATGAGATTTTAATTTTTTAAATCTTTTCGAAGTTGGATGTAACGGATGTGGACGCTTAAATGCTTTGTTATCAATCTTTATTTTGGCTTTAATAATTAAGTTTTGTTCGGTATGATATAGTTTTATTTATGAAACAAATTGATTCAAATTTCAAATAATAAATTATCAACAATAAAATTATTCGATTTATAATAATGCGGAGAAGTTACATTGAACAGTTTATAAATCAAATTCGTACAATTTGTATTGATGTTGTATTATATTTTCTAGTACGAATATTTGATCTAATAACATAATGCGCCAATAAATTCCTTCCTTATTACCTAAATACAAATTATAACGAACAAGAAAATTACTTTCCAAATTAAATTTTAAACTACCATCATCAATATTGTAAAACAAAATACACACCATTTTCTAAGTAATTCCATCTAATCTACTTTCTAAGCGCAGCTGGGATACCAGGCGGCCATAAGTCGGTAAGCGGTCAGCGCTAAAAGCTAGAACATCCTCATGGGACGTTACTCGTCGCATGCGACGGCCTGCATACTGTATGAACCGCTCGGTACTTTGTGGCACTTTGTGGTCAGCAAACTCGATTTTAGACTTCAAAGTCGTTTGGGGAGCGCACGAGAATTTGAAGTGGCCAGCCGATACGTGACGTGGTCAAGACGCGTTAGTGGTTTGTTATGCGATCTTGAATTTCGAATGTATTATTTTACTTTGCCTTTGTTTATTGGTGTACAATGTTGACTTTCAATTTAACCTCTTACATATTTATGTACTCTGCGTAATTTCATATTAGGTACTTATGTAGTATTTGTTATTTAATAGATATGATATTTTTTGTTATTGTATTTTTTTTTCTTTTTTTTTTAAGACAACCCGCATTAGGAATACATTCCTGTGTCGCAGGGGACTTTACAAACATACATGAAACGGACACAAAGAACACCCAGACTCAGAACAACAATTTGTGGATCACACAAAGTGTCGTCCCATGTGGGGTTTGAACCCACAACACTCGGCGCAGTAGAAGCGGCGTGGCGACCGCTTAAACCACTACACCATCCGTGTAGTCACTTATTGATAAATTACATTCTTTATATCAAATGGAAAGGAAGGTCTTAGAAGAAATTTCTTTCATAAACAAAATGTGTATGTTTTAACAATGGATGTATAAGATTAATGTTACCTGCTCTATTTGACTGGTCTATCATAGGCTGCACTATCCTACGTCTCGCGTTGATAAACCTGAAACAAAATAAAACAATTATTAGAAACATATCCAATTAAAAATAGCTACAAATACTACCACGTAAATAGTAGAAAACAACACAAAAAGAATTATCTACGTATTTACGCGATATATTACATGGCAACACTAGGGCTGTCTAAATCAGAGAACAAATATCTCACCAGATAATTGACAATATTTTGGCGATCCGACACAAAAGTTAGCTACAAGGGCCAACAAACAAATATAATATGAGGATTAATTTACATCTACATATGAGCCAATGTATAGCCCCCTATTCAATTATATTATCTAAGAATATCTGGATCTGCGTTTCCGCAAAACTTACGCAGGAAAACAAATTCGTGATAATGAATTATGTCGAAATTGGACGATGCTGTGTTTTGGTCACATGTAGGGTTGAATACGTGAAGATATATGCTGTCAGCAGTAAATATACTCTTGAATTATGTTTGTTTTCCATAAATACGAGTGTGTTTATGTGACATATTTCTTATCATTTTTATAATAAGAACCACAGATAACATAGAACTTAATACCGTATTGAGAAACGTCATTTTAGTATTGCCAATTATTTCTTATTAGTTAAACAGAAAATATTACATAGTGAAATCAGTCAAAATAAATCTAATATGTTTGTAAATATCTTGTGTCACGCCTCCGAAATGGCTGTTTTAATGACTTTTTTGGTATATTTGGTAGGTATGAGAATAGGTCGTAAACTATTTCAATAAAAAATATGTACCTATTAAAGTTTTGTTCAAGTAACAGACTTGGTGTATAAAACTTTAAAATGTACCCTCGTTCAATGTATTTTGGTCGAACTTATATCATATACCACCACAAATATTTATAAGGCTCACTTTGTTTTTTGTTCGGACTTCCATCTTATAGCTTAAGATTGCCGCCATTTTAATATTAAAGGAACTCATTATTTCCACTGTGACATTTTGCTTATCAGGAAGTTTTCAAATATCATTATATAATAACATCAAGTATATTAGGAGAACATCCCTCAGCAGAGGGGCGACTGACCGGGGCTATCGCGGGCGGCTTTATGAAAACTAATGCCTTCATTTGGCGTCGACTCCGACCACCGGCGATAAGCTATGTCGCCCTGGTACCTCGGGATTACGATTTTGGGATTTGCCACGGACTAGAGGGGTCTCCGATAAAAGTTTCGTGGAAATTTCAGTTCGTGTTTGTAATTTAAATGTTCTCAAACTATGCCTCTTTTGATTATTACTCGCTGGAAAATTTCCATGCGACTGGAAAAAATGTAATCAGAATTACTTACAATAATTTACTTTGATAAAATCGTAATAAATAGGTACATATTTGTTGAGCCACTATTTATCTAGTTTTTTTTACTTCTGTATTTATAAGATTCTTTTTTATTCCTGTTGACTTCTGTAATTTCTTTTTCCTTCTCTCTGTGTGCTGTTAAATTTATCAGTTACTATCCGTGTTTTATACCACATGTTATTTCACAGTAAATACACTACCCAATTTAACAGATTGTTCCAGAAATTAACGCGTTTTATATAAACGAACTATTTAAACATATATATATATAGATTTGTTCCAATGTTACACGTATTTAATTGTTTAGAAGATACTAAAAATATGATGTTCTTTTACATGCTTATTTACATATATCTTACAATGGTAAGCAAGGAGAAATACAAAAATATAAAACCAATAAAGGTACAGTAATAGAATGGCCAAGAACTTTTCCCCGTGTTGAGCAATACAAACAAGCTAACAGCAGGTGGTGGAGAGTGAGGTATTACTAGAGGGTCATAAATACCGTTTTTCCCTAATTAACGCTTAATTCCGACCGGGGTCGGGCGCACCCTGGAGATTTGGTTCGAAACTACCAATTTTGGAGCTAGCGACAAGTGACAATATGGCGCACTTTCTATATAATCTCTAATTTTAATTTAAAATAGGCTAATCCTTTTGAAGAAAATGCCTAACCATTCAGACTAACCACTGCTTAACATTAAAATGTATTTTTCATTAGTCTATCTACTTTGTACCAATTTTCGTAGTTTGAGTCTGAGTAGTTTGATATCAACTTTTTTACAAAACAAAATCCACATCTTTTTTTTTAACAATATGGCAGACCTATCAGGAAAAGCTTACAATGGTATGCAATTATGTTCATAAAATTATATACTTTGAGTAATATAACCATGAATTATAAATTTTGCCCACCCCACCGGCAAATTTTCGCAAATTTCTCAGCGAGGTGAAGGAATTCCAGTCAGACGCGAATTCTCATTATTTAATTTGCTTTCAGGTAATTAAAATCCAAAAACTTGGAAGTCGAAATTAAATTTTATAGTCCGTAGGTTCTCCATCCCTACTTTTACTCCCGGGGCGTGGGACGTGCTTCCCGGATCAAATCACCTTTTTAACTTTCCCTATTTAGGGAAAAGCCGGAAATCTAGCAATTGCAATAATAAGTGGGACCAGGACATCATGAGATCGAGTGGGTCGCCTCTATTATCGTTACGTAATGTGATTCTCTTTGGTGAACGTGTGCCTACTAATTTTTAATATGTTTTTCGTGTTTGCGGAGCTTAATATACAAATAATAAATATAATGAAAGCTAAAGTTACACGTTATTAGTTAGTTTGTCAAAGGAACATAATGTAGTTTTTCATTGATAGAATCAATTATGAAATAGGAGCACAAATGTGTCACCGAAGACTCTTAAATCCAATTATCCTAAAGTAACAAGTAATAAAATAAAAACAACACGTTCCCACCCTATGAGTATCAGATGACGCGGTAATGTTCCAAATCTTATTACAATTAGCCTCATTTGCATTCAAAACAGATATATCATGTGCATGTGCAATGTGCATCAAACAATGTACTCACAACCCTTCTGTACATCTCTTTATGATTTATGTGACCCTAGTATCGGCCGGCCATTGTCACAAATAAAATAAACACATTTATTTGATAGAAATGCAAATTTTGTATGTTTGATAACTATTGTTGAAGAATTATTTTATGTAATTCGTGATTTATTGCTTACTATGATAAGAAAATAATTTTTATTAATTCAGTTTTATTGTAGAAGATATTTCCTAATTCTAGAGTCAGAAGGGATTAGAGTAAATGACAAACGTTATTATAATAACAATTTCAGGGGTAAATATACCCTAACATTTACCGTGAATGAAATATCCTACTATCTACACACTAAAATAAGACAAAATTACATTGCAACAAAAGAAATGAACCTTTAAGCGTTGTAATCTTAAAAGCTCACAAGTTAATTGCAGCTAAAACATCAAAATAACGGCAACAGCCGCCGTCAAAATTAATACAAAGCGCGATTTAACAGATACCCTCTTAAGAGTCGTAAAATTTGCCGTTTTTGCACCGGGGAGGGGTCCCTGCGGACCCCGGGGTGTTATGGACCCCGGCCCGGTGGATGAAGAGTTAATGAACTAATCTTGATATTAACAACACATTAGTCGCATCGGACGCATAGCCATGTTTCGCTTCAAGTAATTACTGAGACCCTTGCAAGGGATAGTTGGGTCCTAACCCTCTCAATGTATGTTCAACGTCAATTTCGTATGTACTACGTTTTAAGGGTAATGTATAATCATTTTAATGTTTTAACTAATTTTTTTGTGTCCATTTGCGAAAAATAATTGTGCTTTAAAGTCGTATAGTGCGTTGAAAATGATAATTACAAGCAAATATCACAAAAACTAATCGAATAACAAAGCAATCGGAAGGATATCCACGCTCTCGTACAAAATTCATAGTGACAGTTAATTTGGAAATGCACCAGCGCATCGGGTCCCACTCGCGAGAGATTACTTATTCATCAGACGGATAACATATTGCGCAAGTAATTGGTTCAAAATATATTCTTGTGTAATAGATATGAGGGCTCCGCATTGTAATTTATTAAGGATCGTGTGTTGTTTATGAAATGTTGTTTATGGTAACAGAAACGTTTTGACAAAATCGCCTAAAAGAAAAAAAAAAGACAATATTTATTGCTAATCGATTTAACAAGGATTTACATATGGCTACAGTAGTAGGCTCTCACGTTCGAAATTCAAATAAATGAAGTTTACAGAATCTTGCAATAACCATTTACCGCAAATTTAATGTTCTTTAATCAAATATATTTAAGTTGAAGGAATTGATAACAATAATATGATAGAATGTGAAAAAAAAATATAAATAATATTTTATTATAAACTAAAAGATGTTTATAAGCATAAAGAAATATTTTGAGACGATACAGAGCCTTAAGAGGGTGAATAATACTAGGATTTGGCAACAAATGTTGATGGAATCCGACAAATCCAGTGTGGATATCGTCCGACAGACGGATCGCATTTTGATGTCTGAGATATCTGCGCGGCTATGCTACCTTGGTGATTGATTGTACCCACATAGGTTAAATTCTTCTTTTGAATTTCGGAATGAAGTATAAACCACATCCTAGATAGAAATAAAATAAAATTTAAATGATGGGCTTTTAAAGATATTCTAGGATTTTTTAAAAATATTTGTTAACCGAAGCCATTTTTATTTTCTTAAACATTATTTCAACTCGTTATTTCTAATACTTATCTTGAGTAGTTATTTCCCGCGGCTCCACTCGAGTTAATATTGATTTTGTCAGTCAAATTTGCCTTAAAAAGAATTGTTATGCACTATTTCCGACTATAATCCATCCATGTGCCAAATTTTATCTTGATCTTTTCACCGTTCTGGAGTATATACCCGCAAATAGTAGCCTTATTTCGTGTACATTTCAGAAAACGATTGAATTTAAAAAGATCGTGTAGAAAAACATGAAAATAACAAAGAAAAAATGAATCGTCCCTCTAAAACAAAAGGGCCAAGAAACTTCGTCACGTACATATACGTCTAATCCACGGAGTCCGGGGCGGACAATAAATATTTTTCATGAAATCCACGACCGTCACCCGCGCATACAAACTG